CAGCGATACTTCGAGAACACACAGTACTGTGTGTTCTCGAAGTATCGCTGCTGAAAACTCAAAACAAATCGTACAGAGCTGTCCAACATCTTATTTTGTAGAGAAATGTTTGCTCTACCTTCTTACCAAGTCAGAAAATTTTTAACGAAGCAATTTACGAAACGCTGGGTTTTTGAAAAATATGAAATCCTTAGTCAATTACTCGGTGCATGCTTAACCATAACATTCTCTTTCCTATAATATAAAATCGTAACTATTTTCACATTACACGTTGGACCACATTTTTACTTGTGAGTAGATGCAGAAGGTTTTCATGACTCTATGTAAAATATACTGACGAGAATAAACACAGATGGGGCAGATAAAAAAACTTGCTTTTTAATTTTTTTTGGATTAATCTCAATGTCATTGCAGATGAATTTTATGTTACATTGTAAAATATTTCATTTTATTACTCAGTACGCTAGTCTTCTTCTATTACATAAAACACCTTGTCATTCACCATATGTGATTAGTTATTAATGGCTGATCCATCTTATGATAGAGATCATAATGAACAGGAACAGCCTGATGTTGAATCAGAAACAAGTGAAAATGAAGAATTAAGTGATGAGATTGAGGTAAATTGATTTCAAATATTATACATTCATTCATTTTTTCTTTTTTTAGTCTGAAGAAAATCCTTTTATAACAGTTGGTATTTGTGCAATGTCTAAAAAAGTTAAAGCCAAACCAATGGAAGAAATATTAAACAGAATAGAAAGATTTGAATTTATAAAAATTAATGTATTTCCAGGTAGGTAGATAACCATGAAGTAATTGACTGAGACAACCAATATTCATTTAATTATTTTTAGAAACAACAATATTAACAAAACCTGTTGAAGAATGGCCGATTTGTGATGCGTAAGAGTTAATCTCTTCTTTATTTATTAGAATAAATATTGTCTATATTTTAGTTTAATATCATTTCATTCGAAAGGATTTCCATTAGCTAAAGCTCAAGAATATTGCAAATTACGTAGACCATTTTTAATTAATGATCTGGATAAACAATGGGATATTATGGATAGAATTCAAATACATGAAATTTTGAAAGCAGCCGATATACCACAACCACGTTATGGATTCATTCAACAACCATTACCAGGTAGACTAGATCTTATTTATTGTTATTTAATAAAATCATTCATTTCTTCTTTTTTAGATTCATCTGAAATAGTTTCATCTAATGTTGCTGTTATTGAACAGGACGATCAAATTAAAATTAATGGCGAAATATTTCATAAACCATTTGTAGAAAAACCAGTTAATGCTGAGAATCACGAAGTTTATATCTATTTTCCGCCAGCTGCCGGTGGTGGAAGTCAACGATTATTTAGAAAAGTTAGTTAGTTTTCGTTTTTGTATTCTGTCATCTATTCCTTAATATTCTAGATTGGCAGTCGGAGTAGTGTATATACAACTAGAAATAATATTCGAACTGATGGTCCATATGTATATGAAGAATTCATGCCAACAGGTGACGCCAACTGTCTGCTTTTTCTTACTATTAATTATAAAATTGTTGTTTTAGATGGTACGGATGTTAAAGTATATACAGTGGGTCCTGAATACGCTCATGCTGAAGCAAGAAAAGCACCAGCATTAGATGGAAAAGTTGAAAGGGATGAATTTGGAAAAGAAGTAAGGTATGGCATTTAATTATCTGTCTCTTTCACTATATTGAAGCATACTCAATTTTCTTATGCAGATATCCGGTAATACTGCGTGCAGATGAGAAACTAATTTCAATGAAAATATGTTTGGCATTTAAAGTAAGCGTGAGGCTCTTTTTGTTCGTCTTTCGGATCATGAGAAAATTATTGAACAGGTGGATTCAGCTAAGCTGGACAATAAAGCTGGATAAACGTTCTTCAGTATTAACTTATCTTTCTATTTGATTATGATCTGTGAGCTGTCTTGAGCTTTCCTGAAAATTTTCTTGAGTCAGCATAAGTTTTGACCGAGATATAAGGATTTTAATTTTTGCGAGTTCTAAAAACCGGGTTTTCGCAAAAATGCCTCTGGTGAAGTTGTTTTCATTTTTACACAAAAATAAATGTTGCCGCTATGCTCGGCGTAGTCGATTACCTATATTCCGCGGCATTTCGAGATTCCCAGAGATGTCTGTTCGGAGATAGACACGTGCTCGAGGAAAGCGAGACCTATCCAAACGACGCTAGTTAGAGCACTGGGACTTGCATAATTTTGTAGAGTATCCTCCGGACTACCTACGCATGCAAAACAATTGCTAACATTGTATGTTAGTTTAATGAGAACGGAGCTGGTTTTCCAAAGATCCGGTGTAAAGTCGAACTTCCTGAAAATTTTGACGTGCTTTCAAAAAGTTCAAAAAGTTTGAAACGTGCTTCGGTTGACGAAAACATATCTTAAGGTCTTAGCAACATGATGGTGAAAGCCGCAGATCTCTAACTCATTCCTATCGAAAGTTATTCAAAAAATAACGGAGGGCATTCTATTTTGGTACAGACAGTAATTCTCTTTCAGCTGTTTTATTCTCTAACTAGAAAATCGATGTCAGTTTTCCACATTGTTGGGAATTATTTATGTAAAATCGCTGTCGATTTTCCAACTTTATATAAATTCCTTATCGATTTTCTGGCAAATGAGAAAAGCCAATTTACAGAAAATCCACTCAATTGTTTATTAAGTAGAAAATCAACATTTTCTAAACAGTCAGAAGATCGCTGAGGATTTTATAGAGTTGGAAAATCCTTGGCGATTTTCTAGATCGTTTTTCAATAAAGTAGAAAATAATTCCAAATTACAGTATAGAGGAAATACAGGAAAGCTTCAATCTTGATTACTTTCAAGCCCAGAAAATATTTACTTTGAACAAGGCACTATGCGTCAGAGCGGACTCGAAATGTATTTTTCTGGTGCTCCTGAATGTCATATTTCCCTTTATGTATCATAAGTTCGCTTTAAACCGTTTTTTCTGCCACTAATGAAGATTTTACTAAAAGTAAAAAGAGAAGGAAAATTTGATTTCTTCGCCTGGGGACAAGAAACGAAATGTGACTATTCGACTTTCTCTGTTCGGATGTAACAGAAGAATCATTTTGCTTTAAGGTGAAACAACCCCGGCTCCAAAATGTTCGATCTTAACTGAATTATACAAATTTTCCTAAGTGCCTCAAAACTGTAGTTAGAAAATGACGATTTTGGGCAAAATCGCTAAAAGAAAAAAAAAATCCTCTTCCAACTGCTTGTGCCAATGAAGATTTTCAAATGTAGCCAACTGATAGAGCTTTTCAAGGACTACAAAATGGCCATTTTCTCTCTTTTTACATCACAAAATATAAACGATTGAAATTCTAAAAGCTGTTTTTTGGATTTGAAAGTAACCAAGATTGAAGATTTCTCGTATTTCTTCTATATATTTTTTTATCGCTACAAATCAAAGCTCAGTATTTTTTTTGTAAATGTTCAGTCAAATTTGTTTAGTATTATATACAAATTTTCAGTAAAGAAATCAAACTATCAGTATAAAATTCAATGTTCGGTAACTATTACGTTGGTTCAGTTAACTAATTGTTTGCTTAGTATTAAAATTAAAGTTTCAGTAATTAATTCAGTTTGCTGATTTAAAAATTCATTTACTCAGTAACAAGTAGTAAAATAAATTAAATACTGAATCTTTTTAAATTAATTACTGAACTTTTTGAATTGTTTACTGAGCAAAAAATGATTTTTTACTGAACAAGAACTAATGAACAGGTGATAAAAAATTTACTGAATATTCATAATAAAATACTGAACAATTAAATACAAGCCTTTTTTTATTCTTAATATTTTTGTTATCTTCAAGAAATGTTCGGCATCATCAAGAATTCGCGCACGCCACGAGTTCGTATTCAGGCAGTGTTCTTCGATGTAAAACTTTACACGACAAGGCGTGTCTATAAGTCCGGATTTTTGTATATTTATGGGTAAGCATGTGGTTATCCATGTATCCGTTTACATCGCTCTCTCTCTCTCTCTCTCTCTCTCTCTCTCTCTATACACTTCTATACTTGTACACTTTAACACTTTCGAACTCCATTTTGATTCAAAGAATTCCCACTACATCTTAGGACTTCGACTTCAACTTTCACTCTTACAAAGAAAACAGATGAGAATATTATTTGTTGTAAGAATCATACATTCCTTTCTGCACTCACTCTCGACCCTACGCTACCCCCGCTCCCAAACATTTCCTAATAAGCATACAAGACATATTTGATAAGGTAAAAGGGGAAGCCTAACTGTAAAGGCGTTAAGGGCCCCCCTCACCCTCACCCCTCAAAAAAAGCATTTTTCAACAAAACAACATTTATGCATAGTTGTATAGCCCAATATATCTGCTTTCGAATGCACTATGATTTATTGGTTCTACGATGATTTTTGAGGGTTTTACAGCGGTTTTTCTGAGGCACCCAACATCAAAAACTGATTG